ATTTTTTTCATACGGGAACATGTAATTCAATAAGTCGAACAGTATTTCAAACACGTCAGTTTTGAAAATCAGAAGAATACTCTCCTACATATTCACCACAAAATTTTACTTTTGTGTTATATATGTTTGTTCGATCACGGTTTTTTTTTTTTTTTTCGCAAAGTTGTACAGACTAGGAAAGCATTCATATTCTTGGTCTTACTGAATTATAATTTAAAGCACCATTAGATCCGATACTGGAATCTATATTTTGTGAGATATATTTTAAATCAATCTTTAAGAGAGTCAAGAACTTGTGCTAACAAGGAAAGAAAAGCGGGAAAAAAATGTTCTTAAAAAGCATACTATATATGAAATTGTGCCTAATAATTTTACGTGTATTTTGATTACTCGATAATAACGTTATTATATATGCGCGTATCTGTTTGTTTAACAATTTTTTTTTTTTTTTTTTTTTTTTTTTTTTTTTTTTTTTTTTTTTTTTTTTTTTGCAATTATATATCGAACATACGATACGAAGACGAAATATGTTGTAAGATAATGCAAACTCGTAATTAAACAAGCGATTAATCGTGGTGATCGATTATAATGTTTATCTTGACTCTTTTGAAAGACTGATATTCGTGTGAAATAAAGGTAATAAATCTCAAGTAGCAAGTTGGGTGATAAAAAAAAAAAGAAAAAAAATTGCTAAATGCAATGCTATGCGTATAGACTGAAGGAATGAAAAATATATATATATATTTGTTTTGTTCTATAGTTAAAACTGAGTAATGAGTAATTTTAACATTAACGTTACGTCATAATACATACGTCATTGTACATGAAATTCGAATCTTCGAAAACCGTAGAATATATATATATACACGTATACACGTATACACGTATACACGTACATGTATTTTTCTTTGGAACGTACGAGGATCGACAATGTACAAAACGATCATAGTAACTTTGTTCTTTACCATCTTGCGGGTATTCCCTCATGTCTGACGCATAGATAGTAGTATATCCAAGTGAAGTTCCTTATACCTCATCTTGGAGAAGGAAATACCATTGATGTGAAAAACAATTTGTGAGGGGCACAACGTAAAAGTGCTATGACGGAAAGCGATGCGTAACATCTGGATTTGGGAATATATATTAGAGAAACCCTTGTGACCATTCCGAAAGGGTTTTAATCATTTTTAAATATGTACGATTCGTTTCGTATTTAATGAAGGGAATAATGAAAATCGTTACCTTCCCTCAAATTACATTCAATGCATTGGTTTCGATTCAACGAGCTGCTAGACTCTATAAAATAAAAAAGCGTATATACATTTCACAATAGAGGAAGAAACAAATTATATTTGATCTCAAGTAAACATCAGAAAAATATTTTGTAGTTTCACGCGGCTCGTTTTATAATGTTGGAACAACATCTCCAACGTTCCGTGCAGAAATTATTAAAAAAAACAAGAAAGGATGAAAGACAAAAAAAAAAAAAAAAAAAAAAAAAAAAAAAAGAAAAAGAAAAAAAAAAGATAGTAAGAAAAAAATTCACAAAAACAGAAAAAAGTACCGTCGACATTCTATTTGTGACAATTATCTGTAACTTATTTCCAAAATCTTGTTTTTACTTCTTTATAATAGTATCTGAATGTTAAACTAATAACTCGACGACGGTACGTAGAAATGCATATTTTTTTCAAAATTATACACTATTTTTTTCGTATTTGTGAACCGTTCGAAAAATCTTTTGTGACGCGTTTAAATTGGTTTATCCTTTGACAAAAAAAAAAAAAAAAAAAAAAAAAAAAAAAA